GTGCTTGAAAAAACGGCAAAACTTATGACGCGTTATGTAGTTCGAAGCGTCTCAACAACTCAATAGTCATATTAAGTGAAATTCGAAGAAATAAGAAAAGAAATTAATATTGAAGTCCTATGAATGTACTTTTAAGGATCTTACTCGTGGTATTTTGCTATAAGGGAACCTAGATGAGACAGGGGGCGGAGGCAGGGGGAAAAAGAAACATATTTAAATGGAAATCTCAACGATACTACCCTATAGGCAGACAGACAATGTATGTAGGAGCTAGTAGTAAACTTGTAAGGAGAAAAGGGAAGGATGAAAACTTGTATAGCGTGATTTGAGTGTCCTGAATTAAGTGAGTCATTGTTGCCTCGGAGCTGGTCCAGTGTTGGCACGGAACTTTTGACTATTAGAGTAAGACAACAGATACGATAATCTACAAACTTCAATAAAGGAAATTTTTCAGAGTGACAGCTTGAGTTGAGCCAATGATTTGTCTCGATGACTTAAATTATAGGAGGAAATCTTGCAATTTTTTCTCTATTTACAGCAGCCACTTTGAAATATACTTTTTATTTCGAATACCAATAAAGAATGAGATAATCTTGGTCATTTGAAATTGCAAAGCAAGCCTTGCTTGTTGTCCTATGCTGGCAGGTACATCTTAACTCCATGAACTTATTCGTATCAATTTAAAAGACATTCTGAAGAAATTAGGCCTTTAATTCAGCGTCACATTTAAAATTTCGAGAATAATCTTGTTTGATAGAAGTGGGAGACTGCGACCACACCAGAGGCCACAACATCTTGGTCTTCATATATTCAATAATCTTGTTTATTTACTGCCTTTTCTCCTATTTGTTCTGTAGCCAAAGAATATTCTTAAAAAAGAACTACATTCTTCATCTGTGCCGAAACTAAAGACATATGATGGAAATTAAAACAATTGATAATAGATATAGGATGGCTATCAAAAGTCAAACCAGTAAAAAATAAATTTTTGCAGAAGCAACAGCAGTTAAGTTCACTATATGCGAAGATAACAAACTGTTACCATAATCAACTTACATCAAAAAGTTCCAATTATATCTTATGAGCATTCCTGGCCTACAAGTCAGACTGAGGCCAATTTGTAAAACAATAGTCATATAATGTAAACAAAAATTGATACTTAAATTTAAAGCACTGAGCTCAAATTGAAACCAATGTAAAGAAAAACGCTACCTTGAAAAATATATTTACTTGATATTGAATAAATTAGATTAATAGCCAACAGTAACTATCGAAGCCAGGACTAGTTAAGAGAGAAATACAATTTGGGGACAATAAAGACCACATTACTGACTACAAATGTTATAATGAAGAAAGCAGAAATTATGGAAAACGCACAATAAGCATGAAAGCATAGGATAAATCGACACCCTGACAACAGGACCAAGTTGCGAAAATGAGGTGAACACACTTATACAAATTGAAGAGGCTGCGACCATGCCGAGGGCCACACAATCTTGGTCGCCATATTTTCGATTAAATAAAGAATGCCTATGCAAGTTCATTGATATCCGATGTAGATATAAATTAGTCATGATTAGGTAAAATCAGTTTCATTCATGATTAAGCTAAATATTTGAACGCAAATTCCATATAGAATTATAAATAAAATGCATTGTTAGAGCAGAGGACATACAAAACAGATAATAATAAACATCTTTAAAAAATTAAATTAAGGGTAAAATGTAATTTTGTGTATGTTGTGGGTAACATATTGGGAGATCTCTTAAGAATACCTAAATTCAACTAGTTTCACTTAAGTTATATATTTCAGAAAACTTTAATTTTGTTTGAATATGCATCAAGTATGCCAACAAGTTTCCCGATGCTCTGCAATTGGAAAAATATTAACAATTGTGCCTACAAATAGATTTAAAAAATAATGGGATATTAACATAAACACTTAGGATAACAGTACCTCCGTCTTCCCGTAGGCATTCTTTAGTAACCAGACTGATTGCTCGAGCTTCGCAAGTTCCTCGGTGACGTGTAAGAATCGAACCACAGTCTTATACCACTTACTTCGGAGCAAGGCATAATCAAAAATTAAAGCATAAAGTGGATGCTGAGAAATTGGAGGTGTGGAGGAAGATGATTGAAGCACAACAGAGCATTCATATGAATCGTTTCTAGAAGCCTCGACATCGGTTGATTCCAATGAACAAATGGGCGTTAAGATTCCAGGATCACTCAAATCCTCCAGGCAATTCTGTAAAAGGAAATTATGAAAGATAAACCAGTATTAAGATATATGTACAGAAAAGCATGCATTTAAATTAAATTCAGGCCGAAACATCTGCAAAGGATCAATTTATAAGAAAAATAAAGCCTGCATCACTATGAGCAATAGCTTAAGAAAAGCATTTAAGTAAATTAAAAAATGAAGTAGAATTCAATAAACTATTCGAGCAGAATTGATATGGAAGATAATAATGATGATATAAGTGTATGATTTCACTAAATTCGTGATAACATATTTCACTCAAACTCTGCAGCCAGGTAGAGGGTAGACGGATTTTACGCGGCAAGTGAGAGACTGTGGTAAGACCTAGGAAAGGAAAACTGCTCAACAATATGGCAAACTCTGATCAACATTCCCAGCACAATGATAAAGGGTGGTGAGAAGGCCAGCGTGGAGTGCGGAGGGTTCTCATAAAAACAGATCATAAGGGCAAACCGTACCACATATAATTAAGCAAGTAAAAATTGTGACAGTGAAGACGTGATAGGATGATATAGGGAATGTGAATAGGCCAGGGCAGCAGAGGAGAAACCATAACTGTTTAGCACACGTTTGGTCAAAGGATCGGCTTCACTTGTATCTTTGATGAGTTGTAATATGGTGCTACGAATGGCAAAACTCACTGACGATGCCGGCGAAACGTCTGGGAATGTGCCGCGTCCACGGTCCGACTTTGGAAATGATTATACATACAATCAACTCCGGACAAGGTGCGTTCCTCTAAGTTTTCCTACCAATATAAACATGTTGCGAAAACAAGATCAAACAACTTCTATACAACGAAAGGAGACTACAACCACACAAAAGGTCACACCATCTTGGTTTTCATACCTTCGATAAAACAGCATAATTTATAAAAACACTTTGAAAAGCGAATTTTAAGTCTCAGGAATCAGAATGAGGAGCCATCAGTTTTTTATCGAGTCACAAAATACGGATTGTGTCTATCCTATATCTGCTTCTAAATTCTACGAAAGCACGATTGAGAATTACTGTGGCTAGTGGCTCAAGGAGCCCATAAACATAACTATAAGCGGTCGAAACCAAAGAAAGTAAAACAAAATTAAGAAATTGGTGACATTGAACTTTTCATCTTGAATGAAAAGATCGATATAAAGTATCCGCAAATTTTAAACATCAAAAATCAGAGAGAATTCCCTTGGAGACGTAGCCTCTGATTTGTGCAAAGTGGGGAAGTGAGCGAGAAATGAAATAATTAAGAGTATTCGAGCCTTCCACGAATCTAATTAATAAAAAGTGATTAGATGAAATTAAGTGGTGCAAAATAATTACAATTCATATTTTGGAGCAATAGGAGCGAAATAATGATAGGTGTGATTGAAACACAACTTTTAAACAAATCTTATTCGAAAGGTAAAGCATTTCATTAAATTTTCTAGAATGGTAATAAAGACAAGGTAGCCAATTAAAATAAACAGCATTACAATAGTTACGTAAATTTAAAGTATGTGAAATACGTAAGGAAATGCGCAAAATACCCTTAAAAATGAAGATTCTATTTCATCCACTTCATCCAGAGTTTTATTAAGATATATGTTCTTCAGATGAACGCCTTTAAACAATTCCGGAAGCTCATAAGCAATAGAGCTAGAAACGGCTTTGTCATTCGAGATTTCAGGTGCACTCGCCACCTTAGGTTGTTGAAATGTTGCAAAAGATCGTGTCCATTCGTTCTCAGAAATTGCAGGATAAAGACTTCTTTCTCTTTCATAATTAAACGAATATTTGGATTCGTTTAGGATAGTAACACCGGATACCTGTGAAGGTACCACTGTAGTTTCCTCAACAGCAACATGATACCCAGATTTACAACTGACCTCAGTGTCATTAACCTTGTCATTCGAACTTGATAAATGATTACTAGTAGAAGGGTCATTTGGAGGAGATGTTTTATCGTAAGGTGTGACTGTATTAGACTCTACGAAAGGCTCACAGACATTTGTTTCAGAAATCTGTGCAACAAGGTCGTGAGAAGGCACTTCTATTTTTTGAAGATCTATCAAGAGTTCGCCAATATTCTAGATATCGACATAAACATATAAAATAACTAGCACTTACTTTATTGGCTTTCATTTTATGTTTTACCATCTCCATATTGCAAATAAACTGAAGATCCCAAGTCTAATAGCCTTGCCGTTGAAATACCTTACTTGCGAAGCAAGGGACTTAAAGAATTTAATTAATGGTATTCAAAAAATTAAGTTCTGATTATTTTTAGGACAATTTTAAAAGTTATGAACTAATTATACATATTTAATGCATTTAAAGTGAGAAATATACACGACAATTATTTAAAACAAGGTAAGATTGTACTGAGCAAATGTTCATCTCCTTAATTCTTAATTAAAGAAAGAAGTGTGTAAGAATCAGATGATGGTATCAACTGAATCTGTCAATTTACAACTAATAACCCTTTTTTAAGATAGTGTTCTGATCCAAATTCTTCAGACGAGTTGTACCGAGGAAATGAGACCGATTATTGGGATAAAGTGGGAAGAAATGGAGAGTAGAGATTGTATAGATTCAAGTGTACATTTGTCATAATGCTGTGGTAATTTGCCTGTGGGGTCAATGAAGCAGTTGGACGGGAAGGAGAGGATGACGGGAAACGAATTAGAGAGACGACGTGTCACGTAAATGGAATGTCTTGCTGTGAATGAGCAAGAGAAATAAGTTCCTTGTTAGTCTAAGCAGGAAAAATTTTACCATATAGTCACGAACTAAAGAATAAGATAATAATCTTTTAAAAATACACCCTAGATGAACATGCTTCTTTCTTTGCAGAGGTCTAATCAGCATTACTACCAAGCAGATACAGATGTAAAGGCCTGAAAAGCGACAAATCTAAGACGCCATTTAAGGAAATGCTTGCAGTAATTAATAGTATGAGGAAGTGCTGGCTCTATCATGGATTCTACTCAGTAACGAGAAACTGCTTATTGTTGTGTAGCCGAGTGTCAAGAAATCTCAAATGAAATTAAGTAAAGCCAGACACTAATATGAAAACGAAAGATGTGCTTGGATGAAACAGGCGAGTCCAAATGTCCTCGTGGCAATATATAAAACTCTTTCCGTTAAAGGTTTATACTATGCAATGTTTATATCAGAGTCATATTAATGTATGAGGTTTAGACTGGCTTACTTTTATAGGTGATATTGCAGTTGATAAAAATGTTAAACCTTATCATCACATTTCTTGACTCTGAATTAAAATTAGTCACAAGTAATATTTGCATTTAAAGAAACATGTAAGGCGTTTGTATGTGACTTAAAAGTGTAAATAAAACATTTTGGATGGATCAGTAGAGCTGTAGTAACGAAAAATGAAAATGTGCACAATGTTTATTTCATAGAGGCATGGATATAATTCTTCATGTGAAAAGACAAGCGTATTTGAATTCAAGCATTAGTTTCAAAAAAATCTAAATAGTACGTACATATATATGTTTTAATTTTCATTTGATTATGCTTTATGAAAGGTATTTTGAGAAATGCAAGTTTGTTCGATATTTGCGAACACACTAGTTAGAATTAGCGCTAATCTAATTCACTAATTAACTATGTCTTATACAATTTGTGTAGAATAAATGCTTTACCCTTGTGAGCTTATTATACATCATATATGATAATAATATACGTGTACTTAAGGAATGAGCAACAATGGCATTGCCATGAAGACTAGATTTGTGGTATTTAATAGAATAACCTAAAATTAATTTTATTTGATGTTCTTTAATGTCTAAATCAAAAATAAAAATGTCAGCAAAAAATATACAATTGAATGTGGTTTTCACATAATTGTCTAAAAATGGGCAAATAAACTGCTAATTATTGCTTCGGAGAAGGGCAACTAGTCATCAATGTAATCATAGAAGGATCGTACATATGAATAGAAAGATAATATTGCTTTGACTTGATTACATTAGGCTTTTATTTTAAAGAGTATTAAGATACCATATAAATAGTAGACTAAATGTCGAGCATCAGTAAGGGTGAGTTAAGCTCCCGTAACTGAATTTCCTAAGCTAAAGTATATATGAGGCCTAAAGCTGCCAATAAATTCCACTTGGCACAGCAAAAAAACGCTTTTACTCCATAGTGTAATGCAGTTTAAGCCTCAT